AAAAAAAATCGGTGCGGTTCGGTTTTAACCGCATCATTCGGACATAAAACCGAACCGCACCGAAACTTGTGCGGTTTTCCAAAAGTTTAACCGCACCGAAAACCGAACCTTAAAAAAACCGAACCGAACCGCACCGAATACATCGGTTCGGTTCGGTTTTTCGGTTTCGGCTCGGTTTTGCTCACCCCTACCTAGACATGGCCACGGGCCAACCCGGCCCGTGGCCCGACCCGTGACCCGGTACCGGCCCGGCCCGACCCGGTACCGGTACCGGCATGAATAGTGCCGGTTTTTAGAACCGGACCGCGGCCAATCCGGTCCGGTTAAGGGTCACGGGTTTTTTTTCTTTTGTCCCGGCGGGGCGGGCCGGGCCGGGCCGGGCCGCGCCGGGTCGCATTGCTTTTTTGTGGATTTTTAAGGGCCGTACCGGCCCGGAACCATCCGAGAATTTCTATTTAGTAGTTTACTACTGTACAAAACACATGCATACATCCATTCTCTTGTCACACACTCTAAAACAGGATGAACAGAGAAGTTGGAAACTTGGAATTTGATTCCATTTGTCACTGAAGCCTCAAAATCCTGCCTCCTGATTTCTGGTCGAAATTGATCGATCTCGTGCTTACACTAACAGGATGAGAAAATAAGATACAACTGGATAAAGTGAACATTAGATCGAATATGGCAAAGTCAAGGAGAGGGACAAAAAAAAAGACGAACACATTTTATTAGGCTGAAAATCACCTATCACCAAATAGACCAATTAGATCATATTCTCTTCCATATATTTTGTTGAAGTTTATAGAATAAGCACAAGTTATCAATGAGACCTATATACAAACAAAAAAAAAAAAACCTGCTTTAATTCATTGCAAAGCCTTTTCGCTGAGAGGCGAAGCCGGCAATATCGGTCTCGAAAAAAGCACGATACGCGCAAAACCTTCTTCGACATGCGAATCCTCTGCTCTAATCCTCATAATCCGACGGTGGGCACAAACTTTGCCTTTCAGCCTCTCTGCCGGCAGCTCCGCCACCGTCCGAGAATGCGGACACGGCTCCTCCGCCGCCACCGGAGGCCCGTAGCTTTCACGTTCCATCCCCATCGCTACCTCGCCGCTGAAAACTCTTTCCAACTCTTTTTTTTCTTGTACCCACTGAACTGAATAACATATAATAATATATAAAATAAAATCTAGCATTATTTAAATGAGAAAAAAAAAGGGAAATGAAAAAATTAATTAATTAGACGCGTGTGGTCGTGTGTGATGATGTTTTGTAATTTGTATGTAAAAACTGGGTTTTCGACACGTGTCCCGAGTGGTGCAAGGAGTGACTCACGAGATAACCAACTCGGGACACATGGAGATTTGGATGGACCAGATGAGATTTGGTCCGAGGTATGGACCAGTCCACGTGTGTGTTCCTTTTTGGATGGGTGGCGTTTTTATTTGCTACGACATGTCAAAAAAATTATTATGCACCAACTATGCGAATAATATGCGACGTTGGTATGTCGCAGTTGTGTCGCGAATAATTTTTTCGACTAATAGTCCCAGATTCATTCGCCTAACAAGAATAATTATTTAATGGGCGACGGACCGCGATTGACCGAATCGTACATCGAAACTCCGCATATTCATTGTAGAACAGTCGCATACTTTAACTCATAATTTTCTCGCCCATGCTCATACCTGTCGCCTATTTATCGCATAGTTAATCGCATATGTCTTCGTACTTTTTGAGGTGAAAAACTTAGCTTTTTATTGGGTGGTGTGAAAAACTTAGTATGACTTTAGAACGGGGTGAAAATAGCTATTTTCACTTATTATTATTCCCCCAAAAGAACTAATAAAGGAATACATTTCTACATACTAACTTTTTTTCTTAAAAAAAAAAAAAAGCAACATAATTCTTTGATATAATGAATGACAAATAGTTAAGAATTACTATATATCAAATTGTTATGATATATAAAACCATGATGTATTGCATCACATTTATGTTTATATTGATTCATATATATCCACCCAAAATATAAATACTACCCACAAACATTGTTCATAAAGTGCACAGGTATAGAACATAAAAATATCCATCACAATATGTAAACAACTACATGACACAGTTTCTTGTAGCTGCCCACTTTATTTTCGCCACCATAAATTTTTTCCCAGAAAAAAAAAATAAAATAAAATTTAACACATTTAAGTTCATAAAACCCCAAAAGTTAATTGGTTGAAAATAAAAGATAAATTATTAAAAAATCATTGAAACATAGAAATCATTCAGCCTCCTGCAACAGCCATCTTACTCATCCTTTTTCTCTTCCTCGGTAATTTCATCTTCGTCCTTTTTCTCTTCCTCCGTATTTTCATCTTCGTACTTTTGCTCTTCCTCGGTTACCTCATCTTCGCCCTACAAATATCGAAAGCAGTCAATCATTTTTAAATAGTAAACTGAGAGAATAAATAAAATTAACGACAGCATTATTCGTGCAGAAAAATTAGTAAAAGAGGATTCGGATTTCTCTTACATTATCACTGATATCTTCTTCGTCGTAAAGCTGCATTCATTTAACTTCCATATAAGATTATTGAAAATGAAATTTGTTTGAAGCAGTAGTAGATGAGAATAACGTTAAGGAAAAAAAAAGAAAAAAAAAATTACATGTTTAAGGTGCTCCATCGGGTTCGCCCATATGTCTTCCTTGATAACCTCAGCAACCTGCAATTTGCGAACAATAAAACATTACTAAACGAAAATGCCGTCCAAGATTGCATTTAGTTACCAAAACCCAATACTTCCGACTACTAACACCCCTTATACAAATACATGGAATGTTTTTGTAATTACGCAAAACCTTTGGAATGGTTTTGGAAATTATTCATATTACGGAAGAGAAATTATATTCGTTCATCAAACAATAACTAGAGCAAAATAAAGCTTACGGGATCCCCATCAGCCTCTAGTGTATACTCAGGGCGAAACCCGAACCAGTCAAAGAAGCTGTTTCAGTGAGAATATCATAAATTACGGGCTTCTGCCTATTATCTGAATTGTGAATATCAGTAGTAGGCGAGGCAATAATAAATCAGAAATAATAACCTGTGTTGAGGACATGGCCTTATGTCTCCGAATGCAGATGGGTCCTGGCCATGCACGAATCACTCAATGTTTAAGAAAATAACATAAAAATGACAAAAAAAGAAGATATAAAAATTAAAAACGACACAGTGTTTCTTGCAAATTTATAGATGGACAACGGTTTGACTTTTACCCAGCCCGGCTTCCAATTGACAGTCGTGCCAGTTGACTTCAGAGTCCCATCGTCAAAAAACTCCATGGTCTTGGTCAGTTTGGTGTTCTCAAAATACGGGTTGGGATTGAAGTCCTGACAGCTCACAATGAAGAAGAAATTGTGTACAAAAACTGGAATGTTTATTTTTTCCCCCTTTTTATTTGGGGACAGCGGAAAAAAAAAATGATGCTTTCAGCGGGAAATTAAAAATGAAAAAATAAAAAATGAGATCATGGAAAACTTACGAATGTGATGCAATAACCTGTCCTTTCATCTTTAAAGTTCTCCACGTGAAGTGAGTTCAAGTACGCAAATATCTGGATCACACAATCATTAAAGAAAATATTAGTCTTAAGGATACTAAACATTTATAGGTAAGGACAAATAATCTCATTTGGTGCTCGACCAGTCGGTCCTCCGCGTTCAACAGATTGCTGATTCCAGGATAATTGAAGAACTGCAACAAGAAGAGGGCAATTCGGACATCATCAGTAATTGAAGTCGAGTGAATTGAAGAGTCATAACAATCCATAAGAGAATAGGAAATGACGTGTGAACTTACCGAAGCTGACCAAAAGTGCGGTATGCCACTGATGATCTCAGCTCGCTTCACATATACTGGCTCTCGCACTTGGTCGTAATTTTTCTCTATTTCTGATATCTCACGGCATTCTTCTCTATTAATCTACATAAAGATGCAGATACGAAAATGAAAATGCATTTTTTTGTTTATTTTAAATGGTGATGCATGGATATCGGAAAAATATAGCAGGTACGAATGGTATCTTGTAACAGCTAGTTAATTCAAATCAATGACAAAAAAGGAACAGAAAAGGCAAAAGAGAAAACTCGTGAGATAAAATGATTTGTATGCATATAGTTGGTTTGCATGGGGCAGCAATCAATTACTTGGATAACAAAGGCCAGATCACATCGTTGATTTACTATAATATAATGTGACGTAAGATAAAGATTCAGCAACTGATAGATGATCAGTTTGCCAACCGTACATGCGCACAATTATTGTTGAACATCTTAATAAGCAGGTTCAACTAGTACCTGGCTTAAATAGGAATATCTCATTATAAGCAACACGTACGCAACTCGACAACAAAAAGAATTTAGAAATAATTGCAACAATCTACTATGAATTTAAGTATGATTATAAATTAATATCGACTTTACTGAAACATATTTTATATCCAACAGTAAAGGGATGTAAATTCAATTACCGAATAACCGAAATCGACAACAAAACTCAGCCGCGATGTCATTTTAGTAACCAATAGAAACAATACCCCAAGAAAAAGTTGTTTTATCCATAAACATCTCACCAAGTATGCGATTCTTCAATATATCACAGCGTAAAGCTCACTTTATATCTATGAAGACTATACATTCCAAAAAGAAAAAAAAAAAAAAAATAGATAAAACTTCTTTTCGCATTATTTTCGTGACCCTCAAAGTTTCAATATAAGAGCAAATAACTGACAGGACGAAAGCCTTGCAACATATATCAGATAAATTTTACAAAATGCAATGGCATTAATAAAGAAACACATTTACGTATAAAATATACATATATACATAAAATATGTATGTGTGTACCTTCATACAACCTTTTTTTTTTT